CCCGCCAAAGCTTGCGCGCACGGAAATTGACCTTCATCAGCACCGCCCACTCGCCGTAGTTTGTGCGTGTGAGGACCGGCCAGTTGGCCCCGCCAACGTCTCGCACGGTCCTGTGGATGATGACCTCCTGGCGCGGTGAAGCGTCTGCTCCGCTCCCTTGCACCATCGACGCAACATCTTGGCTTGCCATGGCTCTGATGCCACTTGTTAGTCCTTAATTGCTACTGCCGGCTTTTCTTCTCAACTTGGCTGCTATTTGCAGCTGGGCTGCACTGTTCGGTTAAGCAAAAATGCTTCCCGGAACAAACGAACACTTTTGGGATAGAAGAAGAAGATTTTGAACAACTCAATGTATTGAGTATTCAGATTTTCTGTGTGTTTACAAATGAAAACTGCATCCCTATTTCTTGAGCTGAAAAATCAGCCTAAAATGGTTGCTATGAAAGTGCCATGAAAGTGTAATGAAAGTGCAAGGAAGTTGCACTTCACTAACAAGGAAACTGCGATTATATCTTACATCTTACACGTATAACGCCCACCACAGACACAAACATATAAGTGCAAAAAGAGATATTTTTAAATGACAAAAAAAACCAAACAGGTAAAACAAAAACAACTACGCTCATGCGGTCACAAAGGCCTGTGGGAACAGAAAATCATCTTTGGCGAACAAAATTAATCGGCAACCAGCGAGATCAGAAATAAATTTAGTAGTATCCAGCATACCACCATGATTTTCTCTATAAGCTTGGTTGCTCGTTGATTAATATTCATTGCAAGACAAGATCAAGTACACATACACAGAAATAGGAAGATAAAATGCATATATACACCACACATGACCACAAAGTGTAGACATTCGGCCAATAGCAGAAATTAAGGAACAAAGTATTGCCAATTCCAGAATCTATTTACCGTGTACACGACAGTAACTACTGTTATCCTCGTCAGCAACATACTTGTTAGCATCGTTTGACCAGGACTGAACCTACAGACAAGAAAGGAGAAATTGACTAGAGTTGCTCTTATAAGAAGTTATCTCACAAATTAGTATCTTTGACAGTAAAAATAGATCTTGCATATGTAGAAAGCAGCAGACTAACTAGAAAAGCAAGTTGATACTTTAATACAAAATCGCTCACCCTAAGTTTCAAAATTCAAATATCCAAGAAAAAAAAAGGTGGAAACACTCGAACAAAAGAAAATGTTACAGTCCAATTGGGCCCAGTCGGCAACATATACACATCCAGATACAAACTTAGAGAGAGAGGGGTTGATGGGGAGTACCTGTCTTTCCGTCATTTGAAGGAAACCAATAGTGTAGTAGACTAACTCAAATACATTGTCCATAACAACCTACATGAAAAAATGAAGACTTCCAAAAACTCCGAAAGTGGAATCCAGAGCAAGACAATAGGGAGATGGCTTTGCAGCATACCTTCACAGACCTCGGGCTTCCAGTAGCAGTCAATAAGAATTTAAATAACTGCACCCCCCAAGACCAGGAATAGCATGTCAAATACAAAATTGCAATTATTCCACAATCACCCAACCAAAAGGCGAACAATTTTCTATTAAGATCTTTAATTGTCATCAAAGCTCACACATGCACACTACACAAGTGTTATCCACATAATACAAGCACATTCTACACACACTTCCCATGTATTCACAAACATGCAATGCATTTTCAAGCAAACATGCAATGCACGGAACACACATCACACACCGCACACATTCTACACACAATTTCAGGAAAGAAGAAAATGACAACAACCCTTTCAGACCCAACTCTATGATTAGATATGTTCCAACCAGATAAAAGAAACAAAACATTTCACTGTAAGAAGTCAGCACCAGTGCACAGTTTAGTCATGAAGTTTTATTTGATGCTACTTTTCCTTGACCAAACTTCATAGAACAGGTAAGAGTGTACTAACCTCGATAACAAAGGACTCGAGACTTTGCTCAGCACCATCAGAATCATAACCTTCATCATAGGAATTTTCATTGCCTTCAATTGCTGAGCGCTCATAAACTTCCAACGTTGACCCAAATGTTTCCCAAAATGGCCACTCAATTACTGAAATATCGCCAGAGTAAGAAATTATGAGAATAAGAACATAAGGATGGGCGAAACTACAAAAAAAAATAAAATAAAATAAAATAAAAATAAAATAAAAAATTGAAAACAAAAAACAAAAAACAAAAACAATGCATTGCCATAACCGGGGTACTAGAAACTACACTAGAACACTTGCTCTACAATACCTGCAATAAGTTTTTGTAAAGGTGGAAAAGTTCTGAATGAACTGATTCAAACACTTTATCACCTGGACAGTCGGCAAAATGAATTGGCAAAAAGTCAGCATTCTGCAAAAAGACATCGTCAAGAAAATTGAAAGAAAAAAAGGAACTAGGAAAAAAATACCTCCTTCCTTATGCTCCAATCATCAGGATCTTCAGATGGTACCTGCTTTAACAAGATTGACGAAAATGTATCCATCCAAGATTCGAGCATATCGGTGGTTGTTTCCATCTACTTACCACAGAACAAGTAAATATCGATTTTTTCCCAATAAGTTATGCATTTGATCAATTGGCTGAGCTTAGTGAATACCTCCTCGTACACACCACTCATGGACCAACTCATTGAATTACAATTATAAATTAGTGACAGAGCTTTAGACCTCAGACTTGTGTGATAGATCTGCACATTTGAATCCACAGATAGATGAGAAGTTGATTGAAGAGTACCAGTGAATTTGTAAGAAACAGAAGATAAAAAATACATCAAGTAATAAATAAAAATAAAAAGTAGAAAAAACAAAAAAAAAAACTATGTGGAAATAAAAAATGACCTCTTGAATTTCCCTGTATATTAAAATTTGTTACCAATGCTTCAGTAGAAGCAAAAAAAACATAACTAATTATAAATATCCATAATAACCAAAAAAAATAAAAAATTATGGGATTTAGATAAACCAGTGTCCATTTCCATTGCTACCCTTAATTACCTCTCTTCCTAAAAGACTTAAACATTTTTGTCTTCTTCTGAATGCAATTAACAATCTTCATAAATACTACATGCAAAGTATTGGACAAGGTTAACCTGAGGATTCGATATCATCCAGTGCAAGCATGGGAATAAATGTGGGACAAGTTGGGGCACCGTCTTGTCATCCATGTCCGAGGAAAGAGGAGACAAGCATAGTAAAGCTCCATGCACTGCATTAAAAACAAAAAAAAGTAAGTTCACCTTTCCTTTCAAGAAATGTTTAGCATATTATAAGGACATATTAAGTACTCACCACCATTCAGATTACTCTCGCGCAAAATTAAAGTTATAAGAGAAGGCACTAATTCAGGCCAATCTTCTGGCCAATCATAAAGCGCAATCGCCGATACAGCCGCACTTACTGCAATACGGATCTCCTTACGAGGATCATCAAGCAATGCTAAAAGTAGTCCTTTCACAGCTGCCTGATAGAATAACAGAATTAGGTGTGATATATTAACATGTAATCAACCTTCAGCTTCATCTATCTTACATGTCTCCAAATTATCAATGCCAGTCAAGATGAGCAGAAACGTAAGTTCATCAAATTTAACACCCAATTATTTAGTAGAGAAAAAAACTAAAAAAGTATATAAAGCTCTAAGCTTTAAGCAAGACTAGATCTCTTCACTAATTCCATATTACCTCAGAAAGAAACGTGAAACAAAGATTTGAGACAAGAAATATTGTCAATACTGCATACTGCAGCTCACAGGATACTTTATAAGTAGTTTTTTTAATAAAGTAAAAGCATAGTATTCAAAAAGGTGGATCTTATCTATGAATTGTATAAAAGCTTTGATATATTTTCGAGTACACCTTCTCATTGCTCTCAACAACAGGATGCTCAAAGCCTTCCTCATCCTCATTCCAGTGTTCTCTGATAAATTGCTCTAGCAAAACTGCTGCTAGGTGAATGTGTGTTAATCTGACAATGGCTAAGCTAAAAAGGAACTCGACTGGACTATATGTAACGCATATGAAGAGTAAATGATGTAAGAAAAAGTAGGTAAATTCTATAATTAAATCACAGAATCATCAAGGATATATGCCGGAATTCAAATACACTTTCCTGTTGTGCTGCAAATCTAGCAAGAGCAACACCATAACCTTTGCAGAAGTTCAAAAGGTAATGTAAAATCAGTTCGATATCTTATACTGCAATAAATAACATAAAAGGAAAGAAAGCGCAGAATTTGTTAAGGTTTCTAGATCCTCGAGACAGTGGCCACTGGTTATCAGCTAACATTGGAGTCATACTAAACAAGAAACAGCAATGATCCTCTACAAAATATGTGGATCAATAAACCAATGATTCTGCTGTTATTGGTCATTTAGCAATTAAAGCTTTCTCCTTTACTCATAAAATGACATTCTTGCACAGCAAACTTGGCATCAGTCTTCAATTTATACGATCAACAACATAACCTAAGCAAAGTTTACAGTAGCATCCCATAAAATAAAAACAAAAAATGCATACTTTATCCATCAAAAAGTGCTCTCGATTATCCTACACTTCTCAAAATTCCCTAAAATTACATCCATTCAAGATTTCTCTTATGAATTCATAACTGGGGGAATTCCACTCATACAACAACAAATTCCATCTCTAGAAAGAACATTAACATCAGACACTTGCGATTTCTGAAAACTATTTAATTAAATCACCTGGTTTGCTGGGATCGAGTGATACATTCAAGCAACTGATCATCCCTTGCTGGTCCTGATCCTGATCCTGATCCATGCCTACTGATAAATAATCCCTGTAATCAAATGTGTGTGTAATTCAAGCAAACCTGTGCGTGTTGAATCGCAAATATCCTACTACTGAATCCGTGCATATAATTATACTTATTTGCCCTTCATTTACAATTAAATTCTCAAATCTTGCCCCACTCCAAAATCTAGATTTCTTCCATGACATTGCAAAATCATAAATCAATTTCAAATTCAATCATCCAATGTTACAATAACCTATGCACACAGACAAAACTCTATCATCCAATGTTACAATAACCTATGCAAACAGACCGACCCTTTAAAACTCAAATTAACCACTAATCTTCTATCCACCTTGTAAATATGAAAAAAAAAAAATGGAGGAAATACAAACCGTAAAAAATCAGGATAACGAAACAGAAACATTACATCGCGCCTTTATGCTCCTCGGCGAGGGATTTGGAGGAGGGTTCGGGCTTTGATTTGGGGATTTTCGGCTCGGAGCTAGGGTTTAACGAGGACGAGGCAGGGTCGTTCTGATGCTGATCGAGATGGGATTGCTTCTGGCGGTGGAGGGATTTGGCCTCGGCCTCGGCCTCGCATTCTCCTCTGCGAGTCTCAACCGCTCTTTCAGAGGCTCCTTCTCAAGGATGTCCATGGTTTTTGATGCGGGGATTGTGGGCGGAGGTTTTTGATGTGGCGGCTACTTCTTTCCGTCAATTTAGGGCACAGATTTGGCAGAGACGTGAGACGTGGCGAGGAGGATATTGTGTGAGGGTATTTATATAAACTGCCGTGCACAGATTTGCCATATTCATTTAGATATGGCCACGGCTCACTTCTGTGAAAGCAAAAAAATATTAAAAGAAAATGTGACCATTATTAACAATATTAAAATACATTGGGCCTTAGATGCAAATTGGAACATAACTTAAGATACTATAT